AGTTACAAATCAAATCACATCAATAATAAATTATCCAAAATTAAATCCTTCTACGATAGAGCCAAAATTACCTGTTCTAACAAAAATTTGTTCTTTGTTAAAAGAAAAAAGAAATATTTGTTAATTTGTTTTATTAAAAAAAATATTTTTTATTGTTTATAAATAGCAAATTTTCAAAAATCAACTAAATAGAACAGAACAACTTAGAATGAAGTCCTACAGCATATACACAGAATACTACAAAGAAAATAACAATAACATACATAAAAGGATTATCAGAAAAACTTAAAAAAAGGAAACAAATTTCAATAAATTTCATTACAACAACATTCAAACAATAAATAGATTGAGGTCTACTTAAGAACAAATAAGTGTATTTAAAATATACCTTGTGAATGAGAACAGTTTTATTTAGTATCGTATATTAAATAAATATTTGCATTTTGTAATAAATTGCTTTCTAAACGATTCTAATCCATAACAATTTATTTTTTTTACTTGTACATTGACCCCCCCCCCCATCAAACAAGGTTGTAACTCATTTTTAGCGAAACATGTATTTTGAACAATTTACACCAGAAGAAGTAGCACAATCTGTTGCTTTACAGTTTGATGGGTGAAGCATTCATTGCATCGCAAATTTTTTAGGAATTTCTGAAAGTACAGTGTTTATTACCACACAAAGATTTAAACAGGAAAATACACTAGGAGTTTCAGCCTCTACAATTTTCACATTTAAGCTTATCTCTTTTCTTATGGATCGACGAAATATAAGCAATTTTCCACTCGTCGGGTACGGGAAAACCATTTATAAATTAATTTATGCACCAAGTAACGGTTTCAAATAATCTTTGTGCTCTACATTTTATAAGTTAGGCTAAGATATCCTCTGGTTCTGAAGACCTACCGTTTTTCAGTTCTTTTATAGCTTTTCTAATTTCTGGAACTTGATACGGGGACAGAATGATTATGTCTCCGGTTTCTGTATAACATGTAGCTTCCCCTTTAAAAATTTTAAAGTGTTTGTTTGTCTTTGTGTATTTTATTGTTATGTCCAATTTTACTTTTATGACATTCTACTCATGTCGGATAGCCCACAACTGACGAAATGCCCCTGAAGATGATCTATTGATCGAAAGTACTTGGGCAAGATTTAATTAATCACTGTGTTCGATAGTTGCCTTGTATACTATCAAAGTTCTTATTTTACTGAAGAACTTCCATGTGTTTGTACATTTTCTGCCTCTCAGGTAGGTATTAATTTCCTGGCCCTTCTTATCCCACATTTCTTTTTTTGCTTTTACTGTTGTTCTTCTTGTTATTCTTTTGTGTTTCAATAGATACCGAACTATCGAACATCACATTAGAAAATAACGATCCCATCATGCCCTGGGACCATTACACATACCTAGGAATCGTTTTTGAAACAGCGGGAAAAGATGATAAAGAAATAAACAAAAGAATAACACCATGCAGAAAAACATTAGGTTGTCTAAACAGCGTACTGTAGGTAGAGTCATGAAATAGGAAAAAGAAGAAAACACAACATCTGCGAATCTCTTATTAAAAGCAGTCTATTGTACGGATCAGAAACTTAGCGAATAACCAAAAACAACAAAGGAAAACTAAAGACAGTAAAAATGAACGCTTTTAGAAGATCAGTAGGAGTAGCACGCAGAGAGGAGAATACGTAATTATGAGATAAGACAGCGATTGGGGGTGGACGGCTCTCTGACAACAGACATAGAAAGAAAACAGCTGATATGGTACGGACACGTCCAGAGGATTGATAACTCAAGACTCCCAAAAATAATTATGTAATGGGTACCACCAAACCGCAGAAAGAGAGGAAGACCCAAGAAATCTTGGACAGAGAGAGTAACGAAGGCAATGAGCGCAAGAGATATTAGAGAGGGCCAATGGGATGATAGAGTTTTATGGAAATTAGGCATCGGACAACGTCGCAAGACCTTTTAAAACCGATTGATATATAAAATACACCAGGAGGCCAGGTCAATGTAGACGAAGATCAACAAGATAAGTTAAAGATCGCTTTATTAAATCAACACCAGTATGTGTTAAATGATTAAATAATGTCCATAGTTTTCCATAGTAGTAGTAATTCCATAGTAATCCATAGAAAACAAAGTTTTCAGGGATTTATTGTTCTATAGTTTTCGTTTATACCATTCGAAGTCGCTTAAATAAATATGAATTAAGGTCCAGAATACCTGTCACGGGACCTCCAGTAATAGCAGATTATCGGAAGCAACGTTTACACTTAGCTCGCGACCATCTTAATTGTGGTATTGACAATTGGAGTGTTGTACTTTTCACGGACAAATCAAGATTTAACAGATACTCATCAGATGGGGGCCTAGTATATAGAAAAGAGCTGGTGAACGCTATTAGAAATGCTGTTTTACTTCGAGAGTTCAATTTGGTAGAAGTAGTATAATGATGTGGGCAGGCACTTCCCTAGAGGCTCACACAGAAGTTGATACAATTTAAGTGGGCACTTTAAGCGCTCATAGGTTTATTCAGCACTGTTTGGAAGATCTTGTAGTAACGCTTGCGTTATTTGTTGGAGAAAGTTTTTGTTTGATGCTCGAAATGCGCATTATCGTTGTTGAAGATAATGCTCGTCTGCACATTGCAAGAATAACACGGTATTACTTGGATGAAGTTGAGATTCCTTTATTATCACGACTTCCAAGGAGAGGGAGTCGTAATAACGGCTCTATGCTCTAATGTCGATGTTTAAAAAATAATTATTTTTTTTTCTTTGCAGACTTTTAAATTTTTTGAATTGTTTATTATTTTTTCTGTGTAACATTATTCTTGGGCTGTAATAAATTTGATTTAAATCTTGTTTATTATAAAATACTAAATTGGGAACATCTTAAAGTTTTTAAAACGGCAGGTTTTAGGAAAAATCTGATTGTCTCATTAATTTTGCACTTTGGTATATTTTGGGTATGACATATCACTTTCAAAGGCTGTTTAAATCTTTATATTTGTCTTTTGATATGACGAGGGAATTAGAATAAACGGGAGGTATATCTGTCATGCGAGGTAGAACACGCTATAAATAATGCTAAAATTAGAAAAGCTTGTGGTCCAGATGATACATCAACTGAGTTGTTGAAACTAATAGAAAATGATAACATAAAAGTAGTAGTATGACTTTTTAATTCAATATATAACACCGGAGTGATTCCCACAGATTGGCTCAAATTCATCTTTGTCGAAATACCCAAAAAACACAATGCTAGAAAATGCTCAGAATATCGATTAATTAGCTTAATGAGCTACACTCTTAAAATTTTACTCAGAATACTTCACAACAGAATTAGATGCAAATGCGAAGAAGATCTTGAATATATCCAAATTGGTTTTAGAAATGCTATGGGAACCAGGGAGGCACTTTTTGCGCTTAACATACTATTACAATAATGCTGTGACCAAATAAAATATGTACTTGCATGTTTTGTTGACTTCGAAAAGGCATTCGATAAAGTACAACATGTACAATTAATCCAAATAATGCTGAAAAATATCGGAATAGATGACAAAGATATTCGTGTCATTAAAAATTTGTACTGGAATCAAACTGCTATCGTAAAAATTGGAGATAACTACACCGATGAAGTCTCTATACAACGAGGAGTCAGTCAAGGTTGCATTTTGTTGCCAACATTGTGCAATGTTTACTCGAAATAGTTATTTAAAAGGCATTTGAGAGGCAACCATATGGAATAAACGGGAATCAATGGGGAACTAATTAATGTGATAATGTGAATCTAAGATATGCAGACGATACAGTAATTCTATCAGATAATCCTATTGAAGGTCTGCAAATTCTGCTCATATTGTATTATCATATTCACGAGTTAGGAGAGGAAATATGCATTAAAATAAACTCAAACAAAACCAAAGTTTTAGTGTTTATTCGTGACCCACATTCCGATGCAAAGCTTCAATTAAACGGAGTCCAAGTTGAGAAAGTTCACATATTTGGGAACTGTGATAACGGACCAAATAGATCCAGACATAGAAATAAAACTTAAAATAGCAATGACTAAAACTACTCTTATGAAAATAAAGTCATTTCCTTGCAATAATAATCTCAGTTTAGATCTAAGGCAAAGAATGGTTAAGTGCTATATTTGGTCCATACTTTTGTATACTGCAGAAAGTGTGGACGCTTAAAGTGTCGATCGTGAACAAAATTTAAGCATTGGAATTGTGGGTTCATAGACGAATGCTGAAGATACCTTGGACAGTAAGGAAAACTATTGAAGAAGTACTAAGAAACAAAGATAGAGAACTGCTATAGACTGTTAAGCATCGAAAAATGACCGTCTTATCTGGGACATATAGTAAAGGGAAGTCGATATAAAATATTACAACTGATCCTTAAAGGCAAAATAGAGGGCCGTAGAGGTATAGGAAGAAAACAAGTTTCTTGGTTAAAACACATTCATGAATGGACTCAGATACCAAATGCAGGACAATTATTTCTTATTCCAAAACATCGAGAAGCCTTTGCAATGGTGATCGCCAACGTCGGATAATTCTGATATGGCATGCGAAGAAAAAGATATCTGTCATGGTGATACACTCATTATTATCTTTTGTTGACTTAGCTGAAGAACGTTGAGTTGCAGGCATCTGTTCTAAATTAAAGCAGTAATTATTTTCAAAAAAACGTGATAATTACGTCTGGAACATATTCGACTGGATGGTTTTTTCCGTTTTTCTATCCGGTCATGCATTGAATCATCCTCGTTTTGTGAATATCCTACTTTAAAGAACACATTTGTAATGTTAATGTTAAGCTTTTTCACTGCGTAGAAGTACATAGCAAAACATTTTATTTTTGTTTAATTTTCTACTAAATTCGTCTGTGTTGAAATCTGAAAATAGATGTAACTTGAGTTACAACATTGTTCCATGGGGGTGTCGACATTAATGCAAAAAATATTTCCTAAACTTACCTTCAGAAACTCCAGTTTGTGATATACATTTCGTACGTAAGTAATTCAGCACCTCTTGTTGCTTTTCTGTAAAAGCCTAAACAATAGTTTGTTAAAGGATTAAAAATACTGAGATGCAGTAAATAACGTATTATAAAGCATAGACTCACAAAAAAGAACAAATAATAGTAGCGCAATGTAGATTTAAAAAATTACACACAACAAATTTATAATATACTTTAAGCTTCCAGATTCATTCAGTTTGACTGGCCACTGCCTAAGAATAAAATGTGTCATTTTTATCCTTGACAATCAACCATTCAAATAGAGTTGCTAAATGTTGTTTGAGGGTAGAAAGTTATTTCATAATAATTTAGGATTATACAGGAAGGACAGTTTAACGCTCATTTGTTCATCAGAGTGACTTCAATATAACACACCAGACATAAACCACGGTTAGATAGGTGAGCAACAAATATGTGCACATACAAAGAAAATATCCATTTACACGATCAAATTTCTCATTCACAGCTTTAATTTAATTTTTTGGAGAAACATCATTTTTTGTCAGGGAAAAATCGTTTGTTTGGATAAAAACTCTCTTGCGTAAAATTGATACACCAGTTTCTACTTTATTTTTACTGAAACAAACTTATAAACAACTGATTACAAAAATTGTACTTCTACTATCGAATAAAGTATACAGCTATCTTCATGTTCTTTTTCTTTCTGCGCCATGTCTGCTGTCACTATTCAACCAAGGTTGTGGACAACTGCACCGACTCTAACCGCAACTGCACTCATGTTTAATTCTCCGTAACATTCCGGCCACCTTGAAACGTGTTAACACTTTCAACTATGTCCTGTGCTTCAGTCGGTAATATACAAAGTATTGATACGGGTCGTTAAAACATTTTATTGTTTATGCGGACTATTACCACTCACACTACTTTATCTTTCCTGGATTTACTTGTTCGACCTTAGCCATTGGCCAACTTGAGGTTTAAGTCTGTTCATCTATTACTAGGACAATATCTCATGGTTGGATGGATCTCTCGGAATCTTATTTCCACTTTCTTTTGATTTGTAGTTCAGCAAGACATTATCTCTTCTATCTTCTCCAAAAATGCTGGAGAATTTTCTGTAATTGCTCGAAACGCTTAAGACGATTTTCTAGTCAGATCCAGACAGAGACTGACATCTCTGTCTGGCAGCGAAACTAAAATTCTTCCCAGAAGAAGCTAAGAGTGAGTCAAAGAATTTAACTGGTTAGGAGAGGATGTTCTAGGGTATAAAGGACGTGAATTAAAATTAAGACTTAACCAGTACAGTGTGAAATTCTTCTTGATTTAAATGTGCTTTGCCAACAACCCTCTTAAAATAAAATTTAAAACTCTTAACCCCGGCTTCCAAGATCCTACTGAAATTTTGCGCTCTGAAAGGTATAAAATGCCAATATATTCCTTGCTCGGTGTTCCGATATCGCTTGATTTTTAAGGAAGTTATTAGGGCTTTGTAATTTCTTTTTTGCACCTACATTATGTTTTTCCATTATCTGAATACACCTAACATGATTTAATCTAACCTCTAGGTGCACAGACATTGTCCACAAACATACAAATATACATACATAGCTTTTATGAATTTAGAACCTCTAGTCAATCGTTCTTTTAACAAAAACGGACCAGCAAAATCCGTTTCTATATTAATAAGGTAAATATTGTGTTATTCGTGTAGCTGGTAATTCCATGTAATTCCATGTAAGCTGTTAATGTGATGAGATACAGTTCCTGATAATTATCTTGCAAATATTACGTCCAGATATTGGTCAAAACCTTTCTCGAATCGAAGCCAACAACATAGTTGCCCCCACAATGCATCAATCGTTGATGCTCAGATTTTAAAATTACGTGTTTATGTTTAGGTGACAAAATTATTGGATATTTTTTATCTTATTTGTAGGTTGACTTCTGCAACCGACCACCCACTCTGATAATACCATTCTGTAAAAATGGGTTCAAAGATAATAAAGTACTACTGCGGTTCAATATTAAACCCCTACTTAATCTTTGAAAGTCTTCACAAAAAAACTTTTTTTGTGCCAAGTTTACTAATATGTCGAGTGCGTTTCTTAATTCATTACTAGTAAATAAGCCCACACTTTTTTCCTTATCACATAAATCTTCCACCTTTAGCCTCAATTGACAATTGAATATAAATCTCGCAATACACGCTGTTACTCGAATAAGTTTATTCAAATTTAAAAAAACATGTGGACATCCAATTAGTGGATATTGGCGACAATTCTGGCATACTCCTCTCGATCTTGTGTAACTCGAGGTTTGTCCAATCCCTTATGTTTTTAAGCCATGAGTATTTCTTTCTTCCGATGCCTCGTTTTCCTTTTATCTTCCCTTCCATAATAATCTTTAAAAACTGGTACGTGGAATTTCGTAATATATGACCCAGATTAGCAGTTTTTCTTCTTTTTATTATTGGCAGCAATTCTCGTTCTCCGCCCATTTGATTTATTACTTCGACATTTGTGTGTGATCTATCCAGGAAGTTTTAAGTAGTCCTCTAAATACCCACATTTCAAAAGTCTCCAATCGGTTCATCACATTGCCCTTTCTGGTCCAGGTTTCTACACCATATAGCAGTATGGAGTAAATGTAACATTTTACAAAGCGATCTCGAAGCGTTAAGTTGAGGCTGCTGTTGCCTAGCCAGGTTCTCATATTAGTAAATGCTGTTCTGACTTGCTCAATCCTGCTACGTATCTCTATGTCTGGATCTAGATTTTCAGTTATCCAACTACCGAGATATCTGAACTTGGGGACCTTTTGGATCTTCTTGTTGTTCACTCTTATATTTAATTGCATATTTCGTGTTCTATTAACCACCATTACCTTCGTCTTGTCTATATTAATCTTTAAGCCCAGTCGTTCTCCTTCAGTGTTTATTTTATCTATTAGTTGTTGTAGCGCTTCTTGTATTAGCTATTATAACTGTATCATCAGCATAACGAAGATTACTAATAATCTGTCCGTTGATTTTGATTCCATCTTCAGTGTCACTTAATGCTCTATCAAAAATCGTTTCAGAGTAAAGATTAAAAAGGAGGGGTGACAGAACACAACCCTGTCGTACACCTTTTTCGATTAAGAAATATGATGTAAATTCCAGTCCTACTCTCACAGGTGCCACTTGATTCATATAAAGGTTTTTTATGATTTTAAGGTCATTCTTATCTATCGAACGGTCCTGGAGCAACCTTACTAATTCTGAATGATTAACACAATCGAACGCTTTCTGGTAATCTATAAATCATAGAAAGACATATTTTTGCTGATCTCTGCATTTCTAAAGTAGGACAGTTAAGATGTAAAGTGCTTCTCCTGTACCAAATCCTTGTCTGAAACCGAACTGTGTGGTGCTAATGTCTCTTTCACATCTGTTGTATATTCTTGTACGATTTTTTTTTAAGAAGAGTTTAAGGATCTGGCTCAATAAGCTGATCATTCGGAATTGGTCGCAACTATTAGCGTTTGGCTTTTTTGAGATTGGTATAAATGTTGATTGAAGCCAATCCTGTAATATTTGACCAGACTTATAAATGTCATTAAAAAGATCTACCAAGGCATCTTAATTGTCTTCACTCAACAGTGTTAGAACCTCTATGTATACATCGTCTGGGCCTAGTGCTTTTCCCCATTTGTTCTGTTTGATTGCTCTTACAACTTCTGACTTCAATATTTTGGGGGAGGATTTACTTTTATATTCATATTTAGGATTTTACTAAAATCCATAAATATAGTATTATATCCGAATAAAAATAGTATTAATCGCGGTAAAATTAATACCGTTTAACTGGTGCTGCCCTAGATTTTAAACATAAAAGTTTATGTATATATTGATGTAATTGAACTTGACACCTAATATATAATTTATACAGCAACCGTAAGCCTTTTGGCTAGCATCGCCAAATTTGTGCCATTCCACAGATACATACATAGACACTGTGACCATTGTAGGTATAGTAAGATCAGTAGTCTTCATTAAGTCGTCCTTGAAATTCCACCATACATTAACTATCTATTCGGAAATATTCTCATCCCAATCGAACCGCCCTTGCCATATTGATTGCATTATTAATTTTAAAACTATTACAATAGGACCAAGTAGATCTAGGGGGTCAAAAATCTGCGAAATAGACGACAATATAACGCGCCTCGTGATAGCTTGGTAGGTTTTAAATACTGTTATAGAATATTTTATGAAATCAGATTTATCATCATCATTAATTGCGCTAAAACTCTTCGTGAGTCTTTGTCGCGTTTACTATTGCCTTCCATGTTTGTCGGTTCTATGCCAGCAATTCCCATTATCGCACTCCCATTTTCTCTAGATCTTCTTTGGCTGCATCTTTCCAATTTTTTCTAGGCCGTCCCACAGACCTTCTTCCATCTGATCTTTCCCAGAACACATTGTTTATAAGGTGATTGTCGTAACTGCGTATCACATGCCTTGCCAACCTGAGTCTATTGGCCTTTATATATCTGACTAGATTTTTTTTCCGAATAGAGACTCTAGCTCGTTATTGTATCTGCTCCTCCATTCGTTTGTCACGCAGTCTCTGCAAAGGCCATTATATCATTCGATTCTGAGTTCCATAATATATTTAATCCCTGTTCGTTTGTCTATTGTTTATATTTAAGATGCTTGATTCTAAGGTCGTATCTACTTGGAATTTTGTCAATAATCGTCTTTTGTTACAGAGCCATTTTCTGGGTTGAAATCCTGCACTTGCTAGAATGTTAGTGTAGATCTTGTGCTTGTAAAGCCAGTAATTCATGCTCACTATCTGCTTCTTCTAGATAATTATTCATATAGAAAGACCCTTTTATCAATTTAGTCGCCTTAGGATTACTTATTTTATATTCACTTGCTAATTGTGTTAAGCCTCGTACAGCTAAATAAGGAGCTGAAGCCGTACCTTTCGTCACTGTATTCAGCTGGTAGCATTTTAAGCCATCGGCTGCGTTTTGTCTCCAAAATATTCTTTGTAGTTTACGTTGTTTGAAAGCTACGTAAATCGTTCGATACATCTTTGATATAACTACAGTCAAATTAATACTTTCAAAACCGGAGAACTATCGAAAAAGGAATATCTTGTAAGGTCGGTCCCACACATTGAACCTTATTAAGAGACAAACCGGATCCAGATTTTATTGAAGCATCAAATACTACTCGAACACGTGTAGTGTTATTTGTTTCGTGAACAACTGCATGATGCAATTGCACTCATATGTCCCGATTGTAAGTACTCTTGCACAAACATATCATAATCGGGTTTTAGCTCGGGATTTTTTAAGAGCCTACTCTCTAGTGAAAAATATTTTTTTAAGTACTCTTACGTGAGTCACCTAGATCTGTTAAATTTTCCTTAAATCGAATCAAATGATCTCAAACGTGCATGACTTTATTTTTGTATTTAACAGCATATTAACAGGATAAGCACTTTTATGTCGACAAACAATGCACTTGTGGTTATGGAATTAAGAAAGCCAATTTGAATATCTCTGTTGTCAAATGAACGACTGCATCCGTCGTACATCAGCCTTGTTTGTAGCTAAATTGCCTTGCTGGTAGTATACTTTGCCGCCTTATCTATGTTTTCATTCGCAATTTTAGAATTCTTGTGAGTGATTTAAAAATGCATAACAACAATGTAATTATTCGATATGAATCTTTATTTTTTCTGGTTTAAAGAAATCATTAAATTTGTCAGCAAGTAATTCAGTGTGCAGGATACAGTTATAAATATGCAGTAGTGATCTTTTGGCCAGCGTACCCATTTTTTTCTAACATAATATACGAAATCTGATCTGAACTTTAGGCTGTGTTTTTGGATATTTTAGTAGAATATTCCAGTTCAAGTAATGTCATTTATTTATTATCTTTTTAGTTCTTCTATAAGTGTACCTGGGTGAGGTAAAGATTTTTCAACAAAAGGTGGACATGGATTCTGTAGAATAACTTCTGCAATTAAAGGAGGAACATGTTAATTGTTTGTATTTTTGTTGTCTAATATGTTTACCATCTTCCATATTTAAGTTGATAAGCATCTAAAATTAAAACCGGAACAAAATTGAAATTCATGTGCTTCTGGCTTTCTGTTTAAACACAATGTATTCGAGAAAGGTATTCAGAGTGGATGAGGTTTTGTACAATTTAAGCACATTCTTCTTAAGATTTTACTGTGCGACACAGTCATCATCCCACCAAATCGATTTTGTATTGGCAATTTAATTTAATTACAGCTAATGTTTCGTATTTTAAGATCCATTTTCGAAGTGCAAATTGAAATGTCAAATAAATTTAGGTTTTATGTATAGTTATGGCTTATTGACAATAAAAGTTTTAAATAACATTAAGATGCCAGAAGGAAATAGGTTTATAACAAAAATTACTGTATCATATAGACTACTGATTACCATTAATGCGGAAGCCAAGAAATAGATGGATATAAAGAAAATGAAACAGGCTGCCAAGCTAATCCTGGTAGCGTGAAAAAATACGCAAATAAAACTTATTATACAATTGAAAAGATTTTTTTCAAAATAGTAGAATTTAGAGTTATGGGTCACAACAATTAACAAAATAATTAAATGATAAATGAAACAAAAAAAAACAATACTCACCATTGCCCCACAAAATAAAAATCCAAAAACTATAAATCGTTTCATATTGTGTAACCGTTCAAAATATTCCCACAAATTACTAAGTTAATATTCCACATAAATCCTACATTTATATACAATTTTATTGACAATTTGTAAACATGCAATTTTTAGATAAACGGCATTTAAAGCAGGATGTTACTATTTTTTGTTTAGGATCACCCTTTGTACTCACAACTGTTACTTATTATGTAAATCATTATAATATTAATACACAAGATAATATCCTTGTTAAGTAGAACACATTAAATTTAGCAATTATTTAGCTTTTTATCAATAAGATGGTTAATTTTGTAAGTTTAGATGATAATTTTATGAGACATTGCATTGAATACATAAAAGTTCTTAGTCACACCATGAAAATATTATTCATTGACAGACAAATACGCAAAAGAACCAAAATATCCGACAGAAAGTTTGGCTTTATGTCAGGCAGATCAATAACAGATGCCATTTGTATTATAAGGCAGTTGATGGGAAAAATGCAGACCTAAAAAAAACTTCTTCTTCTTCTTCTTCTTGTCCTTCCTTTGATATAGTCATGACTGTCTATTTTTTAATGTGCCTCCAGTAAGTTGTCGTTCCATCATTTTAAGGGTTTTCCTACTGATCGTCTTCGTTTTGGAAAACCGTCTCTTGCCGTCTTTACTACTCTGTTTGTTTTTATTCGGCTTATATGATTGTTTCATTTTACTCTATTTCTATTTCTTACACAGTTCTTGATGTTCTCCACTTTGCATATATGTCGTATATCTGTATTTCTAGCTTTGTCCCATAGTGTCTTACCATCAATTTTTCATCTCTGCTGTTTTTAATATCCTTTTTTTCCTTTTTCTGTCAAGTCTTGTTTCTGCTGCGTAGGTTATTATTGGTCTGATGACTGTTCTGTGAATTCTGCCTTTCGTTTCTTTGCCGATATTTTTATTTCTTCATATTATTTCATTAAAGCCACAGGCTACTCTGTTTGGTCTATTAACTTGATCTTCCACTTCAGTTTCAAGCTTTTCTTAGCTAGATAATGTGATGCCTAGATATTTATTTGAATACTGCCTAGGCTGATTCCGGATGGATGAAGTAGCTCTGTGGTTACCACAGCCGGTCCCAAGCCCGGATAAAATGTGAAGGGTGATGTGGAAGGCAAGGTTAGCATCCTACCAATCCTAAAAACAAATATTGTCCAAAGAAGCAATATATAGCTTCGAAATCCGATTGACTAAAAAACAAATAAAATCATATAGTAATATGGTATTAATTGGTCTTGAAATAACATATGATATACTTCTTTAAGAGATTCTGTGGTAAGTGCTCAATTAGAAAGGAGTTGCCGTTGAATATGTGCAGATTGTAAACAAAACTTTAAAATTTCAATCTACATAAACCGAATACTCGCGCCCTTTTACTTGTAAAGAAGTCACTATAGGTCTAAAGGATAAAAGGCCAAGTAAAGCCCCAGGTTTTGACAATATTTATTCCGAATTTTTAAATAACAGTGGCAAATATGCAAAAGTATGGACGGCCCACTTTTTCACAAACATTATGAAGACTGGCACAATACCATAGAAACTTAAACGCTCAAAGGTCATTACCATATTAAAACCAGGAAGACCAAATGATAACAACCCTAACAACCAATAGCCACTATAGGCGACATTCAACCTGCTAGAACGATTTATCTACAACAGAATTAGTCCAAAGCTACTTGAATCAATATTGTTTCAACATCATGCTAGCTGATCGAACGATTCAAGTAGCCATAGGAAATAATATAAGTTCCCCAAAAAATCTGAAGAATGGACTGCCTTGGGGATATGGATTAGTTCCTCTTCTCTTTAGCCTGTAGATCGCTGCTATACTAGAAACCAGAAAGAACCCATTAAGAAAGTTTTGTTACGCAGATGACTACATCCTTACAACAAGGTGTTATAAACAGAAACCATTTTAAAAAACAGAAGAAATATTAACAGCGGACTTTCACACAGTAGTATAATATTTGTGTACGATTATTTCCGATAATATTTTCGTATTGACCGTCTAAGCTCCAGACGATCGCCAATAAAAACAGCACAGACTGATATGGAAAATAAGTTTAACTTAACGATCACTTGGGCTCGAGAATAAACAGAACAACAAAATAGCTGCTTTCCTGCATTCCACAAAATTCACCAAGTTTTGACTTACCACACAACGCATGGTGTAGGCTAAACCGAATCAGAACCCAACAGGGCAGATGCGGTTACATGATGCTCAAATGAGGTAAACGATCATTTCCACTCTGTGACTGCGGACAACCACAAACAATCTGTCACATCACAGATTATTGTCCCACAAGATCGTATCTTATACATAAGTACAAAATATTACTAAAACTTAATTTACAATAAAGTTTGCAGAAGTACAGAGTCCAGATTATAAAAATCGGTTTAC